TATCTCCTATTCTTAGTTTAGTTTGCGAGGCAGATCCACCTGGAACTATCGATGTAGACCAAGGGAAACCAGCATGTCCACATGTCCCAAGTCCCATTTGTAGTATATAGTAGTAATATGATATATACTAGTGACTCCTCCTTCCCCTCTCTCTCTCTTGCCTTTGCTCATCCTACGCCTCTGCTGGTATGTAAACGTCTATCTTTATACGTACATGAATGAGTCAGTGGAGCTAGGAACGGGGTTAGTGTTTAGCTTTCCAGCTAGATCAGCGCGTCGCATTCGACCAGATGGCGGTGAGGCCATTGGATGTATGGGAGCGGGGAGAATGGCAGAAGGAGTGGTTGGGTTGGACCGTCGAGAAGTGCGGGGGAGACGTGTGTGAAGTTGGGGACTCGTTAGGACGTAGTCTCTTAGTGTGCCGAACGGGTACATGTGCGCTCAGGAGTAGGGAGTTTTGGTGGGAGTAATATCAGAAGAGAGGAGATGTAAGGAGGCGGGAGATGGGATTCGGGGTGCTGAGAGGGGAGCCGAGGCTGAGCACACGCGCGTATATGCGCGTACCGAGTCGCGCGTTCTTATGTCTCTTGGTCGACGGGTGACGACACGTGTATGCAGTAATGTAAAGATTGTACATTTACCACACCAAGTTGGATCTGTTTCTACCCATTCCGGAACATCAGATCGCTCCATTCGCAACGATGTACATTTTGGTGCCGTCGACAGTCCAAAATCCGTGGGGTTTCCTTTGTGGACACAAGAAGTTGTGACCTCATATCGATACGGCCAGCAACGAACAGTAGGAAGGGATGGACGGAGAGCGGAGGAGCGAAGAAGGACGGATAAAGAGCTAGTTCCGAATGATGGATGGGAGAGAGTATAGCCGAAACACATATGATCGCCATCTCGGCGGCCAGCAACGAACGAGGAAGGCATGACGTGAGAGTGAGAGAGAGACGGAATAGAGCGGAGTTGTATATTGCGAGCCCTCGCGCCTGGTATGCTGAATACAATCTTGGTGCGTAGACAATATATATTTAGAATAAATGCTAGAAACGTATACAGTATGATAAACGTATAATAAATCCGAGGGTATTCCTGATATACAACCATCGCCAAGCAGTGCACCCATACAGTTATTTTTAGTCCTTGATACTGTTTTAGTCCAGAAAAGGTGCATGTTACTGTTATGTCGATCGGGGTACTATACTTGACGCGACGCGGAATGAAAAACTATGTAATCAGACGAGACCGCCGACCACAGTTACGACTTGTTCTCCACAAGTTACATGTGCATGTGTATTCATGTATTGTTTGTATAGTGCATGTAACTGATATGTATGTATCTGTATGCTATCGTGGTCGTTACTGCAGGTTGTTTGTGATGAACGCGGTAGTTTTCTTCATGATACTATGCTTCTAACCGCGTTGTTTTGGAGGCACTCGGGCCTGTGTGGAAGATTCTTTGTTGTTGAAACTTTGCTTTAGAGAATTTGTGAATCGTTTCTCTGAATTTGTAGCTAACCAGTGGACGCGTACGGTTTCCACGTATTGGTTAGACCGCTGGACACATTCTTCCAATCAGGGTTTAGATATAGGTCTAAGAACATTTCATCGCATCATGAAAATCACTTTTGCACTATTTGTATGCGTGTACATGTGTGACGATGGTGATTGGAAAGTGACAAAGGTTTTGTCGGCTCCCACGTCTATTGGAAAGCTTTTTAGTACCAAAAAGCATAAAACCTAATTTTAGACCTTAAAGCCGCAGTTTAAGAGCCCTTAAAACCGGTGTTAAGGTACTAACAACTAGGTTATGAAGGTCAAAAACCTAGTTTGTAAGCTCTGTAGAACCTAGTTTGAAGCTGTTACAAACCTAGTTTAAAGGCCCATAAAACCCCGGGGATGATGATACCTTACAACCAGGGTCTTTAAGGTACTTTAAAGACCAAGGTTTTAAGGAGGATGTCTAAACTAGAAGAATTGACGCCCTGACCTAAACTGAGGGTATTAAGGAACCTAAATCCTGTTTTATACCTTAAAGCGTAGTTTTAGACGCTTAAAGACCTGTTTTAAGATGCTTAAAACTAGGTCTTTAAGGGATCGTAAAACTAGAATTACGCCCGCGCGGTAAACTAGGTTGTTAAAGCAGGGCATTAATTCCCAAGTTAGACCTTAAAACCGGGTTTTAAGAGCCGTCTTGTCAAAAAAACAAAACCCCGGCGGTAGATTTGATAACGAAGCACTTAAAACTAGAGTAGGTACTATTACGCGGCTTTTCCCTAGCACCTAAAACCAGGTTGTTTAAGGTCTAAATACCTGAGTGATAATGGTTAAATGCTCTTAATACTAGTTTTAGGGCGTTAAAACTTGGTTTCTAGACCTTCTTAAAACCTGGTTTTAAGAGCGTTCAAAACCAGGGAGTACTTTAAGAGCTGATAAAACAGGTTTCTTTAGACCTTAACATGGTTTTACCACGAGCTTAAAACCAGGTTGGTAACAGCGACTTGAAACTAGGGTTTACGCTTATGCATGAAAGCATTTCTGTACCAAAAAAGCATAAAACCTGGTTTTAGAGCTCCTTAAAGAACCGGCGTTTTAAAGCAGCTGTAAAAGCGTAGCGCTTTTAAGAGCTATGAAAAGCCCGGTTTTTAAGAGTGACTATTTTTAAAACTAGGCGTTTATGAACGTACTGCATCGACCAGGCATTTAGCTCCTGATTGGCTGAGTGTGGCTAAGAGAATGACTGAGGTTTACTGCGGGACTGCCGATTGACACAGGTTTCAGCTGAGGCGGCGGAAACTAGAACGAAGTAAAAGCGAGGGAGAAGCTGGTGGAGAGAGAAGGAGGAGGGGGAGAAGCTGGTGGAGACGAAGGTAAGAAGGGCAGCAAAACGAGGAGAAGGGGGGACGAAGCGAGCTTGGTGGCAGCGGGAGGAGAGGAGGGGAAAGGAGAGAAGCTGCGTCTAAGAGAAGGAGGGGGAATGCAGGAGAAGGAGATCGAGAAGCTGGTGGGTAGCAGAGGAATAGCGGTAGGAGAAGGGGGTGGAGCGAGAGGAGGATGGGCGGAGAAGCTGGTTGGACGAACGAAGGAGGAAGGGGAAAGAAAGGGAGAGGAAGCTGGTGGAAGAAGAGGGAGGGAGAGAAGCTGGTGGGGCGGGAAAGAGAAGGGGAAAGAAGGAGAGAGAAGGTGCGGAGAAAGTGACGAGGGGGAAAAAAGAACGTGGGTGATAGCGAGAAAGAGGAACGGAGGAAGGAGTGAGGAAGGATGGGACAGAGAAGGGAGGGGGAGAAGCTGGGGTGAAGAAAGTGAGCAGAGAGAGAGGGTGAAGGTCAGAAGGATGGGAGAAGGAGGAGGCGACAAATGGTGGAGGAGGAAAGGGGAGAAGAAACTGGTGTGGAGGAAGGAACGCGAGAAGGGAAAACGGTGGTGGAGAGAAGGAGGAGAGGGAGAAGGGGGAGGAGGGGGAGAAATAGAAGCTGGTGGAGGAAGGAAGGGGGAGAAGATGGTGGAGAAGGGAGGAGGGGGAGACGCTGGTGGAGGAAGGAGAGGGAGAAGCTGGTGGAGGAAGGGAGGAAAGGGGGAGAAGAAAGGAGAGCTGGTGTGAAGAAGTGCAGGGGAGAGAAAGCTGTGAGAAAGAGGAAGAGGGAAGAAGGGAAGAAGCTGGATGGAGGAGAAGGAGGGAGGAGGGCAGGAGAAGATGCTTGGCCTGCCGCGAGAAGCAGACGGGAGGGGGGAGGAACGGGAGAAGAGGAGTGGCGGAGAAGCAGATGAGGGGCGAGAAAGGCTGTGCGGAGAAGGAGGAAGGGGCAGAAAGGAGAACGCTGCGTGAAGAAGGAGGAGGGGAGAAGCTGGTGGAGAAAGAGGAAGGGAAGAAGCGAGAAGAGGTGGCGGGAGAAGGAGGAGGGGGAGAAGCTGGGGAGATGCAAGGAGGAGGGAGAAGGAGACGAGGCGGTGGCGGAGGGGGGGGACAGAAGCGGGTGGAGGGGGCACAGAGGAAGGGCAGCGAAGGGGAAGGCGAGAAGAGGGCGGGGAGAAGCTGGTGCGAGAGAGAGGAGGGGAGCAAGCTGGTGGGAGAAGGCAGGAGGGGAGAAGGGGAGAGCTTCGGGTGGGCGAGAAGGAGGAGGGAGAGAATGCTGGTGGAGAGAAGGAAGGAAGGGCGAGAGAACAGGAGAAGGTGGCGGAGAAGGAGAGGGGGAGAAGCTGGTGGAGAGAACGGAGGCAGTAGCGGGAGAAGGGAGAAGGAGGAGACAGAGAGGGAGAGAAGCTGGTGGAGAAGGAGGAGGGAAAGAGAAGCTGGTGGAGAAGGACGGAGGCGGAAAAAGGAGAAGCTGTGGAGAGGAGGAGGGGGGAGAGAAGCGAGAAGGTGTTGGAGGAGAAGGGAGAAACTGGTTGGAGGAGGAAGGGAGAAGGGAAAAGGTTGAGGAAGGATCGAGAGGGAGAAGCTGGGTGAGAGGAAGGAGGAGGGGGGAAATGAGGAAGCTGGTGGGGAGAGGAGGGGAGGGGGGAGAAGCTGGATGCGAGAAGGCAGGAGGGGAGAGCGCTGTGGAGAAGGAGGAGGGGAGAGAGCTGGTGGAAGAAGGAGGAGCGGGAGGAGAAGGACAAGCTTGAAGGTAAGAAGAAAGGAATGAGGGGAGAAGCTGGTGGGAGAAGAGGAAGGGAAGAAGGAGAAGGTGAGGAGGAAGGAGACAGGGAGAAGCTGGGTGGCAGAAGGAGGGAAGGGGAGAAGGGAGAAGGTGCGAGAGAGGATGAGGGGGGAGAACGCTGGTGAAGGAAGGAGGAAGGCGGAGAAAGGAGAAGCGAGGTGAAAGAAGGGAGGAGGGAAAGCTGGTGGAGAAAGAGAAGGGAAGAAGGAGAACGGTGGCGGAGAAAGCGAGGAGGGGAGAAGCTGGCTGAGTGGAGAAGAGAAGGGGAGAAGGAGGGGCGAGAAGGGGAGCT